AGAGAGAGAGAGAGAGAGAGAGAGAGAGAGAGAGAGAGAGAGAGAGAGAGAGAGAGTCAACATCGAGCGCAGTATCGTAGAGTACCGTCGTAGAAAGAGTCCAGTGTAGCCAGCGTAGAGTCGAAGTCCAGCGCAGTAGCGTTGAGTAGTGTACGTTGAGTCACAGTAGTGTAGAAGTCGTGCATAGGCAGCCGTCAGGCAAATAAGCCATTTGGGCACCTCCCCCGAAAAGGTTGTTACATGGCCCTGCGCGGCACCACGGGGGCCTGGGGAGTGCGAATATGCGGCCGCCTCCCTTAGAAAAGTAGTTACAAACCCTAGGGCTTCCGGCCAAGCGCGGCGCTACCGGGGCCTGGGGAGTTGGAATTTGCGCTGGGCTGGTAGGCTGTGTGGCCTCGTAGTACCGTGTGCGGCACTACCGGGCCAGGGCCTACCGGCCCAGCTACAGGCCCAGCGATCGTCTAGAAAACGATCAACATGCAATCTGGGCCGTGCCGTACATCATCGACGACGGTCCAGATCGCGAGTTGATGACATTGAAAACTATCAGCAGCCAATCTGGACCGTCGCGTGCCAAGGAAATGAAGGGCCCAGATCAGCTGCTGGTCACATTCTGTGAAATAGCGATTGTTATACTTGTAGTGATTGTGGGATTTGTTCTCGAAAATTTATTTCCAGCCAGTGTTGTGGCGGGCTTGAACACCTGTGGAGAGACTCAGGCAGTGTTGACTGTGGGTGTAATTCCCATGAGTTGTCTATGCTTTGAAAGTTAAAACACATGGATGATGGGCTAGGGTGCTTTTTGTGGTAGTCCTTCGGGTGTTTTATTGGGGTTCCTGGGCCTGTTATCTATAAGAAAGCACACACACCTGTCTGAATAGACTCCTGGTCAATGCCTTGTAGTTGCAGCTGGAAAAGAGGGGAAGGAGAGGTGACACCACATGGGCGATAAGTATCTCGGTTGTTATAATGAATGGCTATATGTTGGTGAGTGCATGCTTCATTCATCTTTCTATGATGCAAGTGCGTGTTTGATGGACAGATGTGTGGACACTGCACAGATGTGGGGAGCCTTGCTCACACTCTTCATCCCCTGTCCTGTACGTGCCTTGTATTGGGGGTGATATCTGGTGGTTTTTAAAGATGTGTATGTGCACACACACAAACACACGGGCACTCGAGGCCGCCTTTTGAAGCACACATGGTGCGCAGGAGCGCCGTTACGGCGCTTGTTGATGCTGCTGCTTCGAGTCTGTATTGTTGTTTTTTCTGCGTCGATATGAGCTGCACCACGTTATAGGTGTGTGCGTGCCGTTTTTTTGGTCACCTTTCCATTTTATTATTTTTTTTCAAATTTGATGCTTTTTCCTTTTGGGTTGCCTTTTTTTGTTGCCTTTTCGTTTTAGTGTGGCCTTCTCCTCTTTTGTAGCCTTCCTTGTTTTTGTTTCACTGCGCAGTAAGTCCCGTCCCAATTTTCAGAACGAGCCCTGTCCAAGCCTCTACCATGCCTCACCCAACCCTGCCCGAGAAGGGTTCATTTCTTGGGGATTACCAACTACACACACACACACACACACACACACACACACACACACACTACGTGAGAGGCACGGTAAACGGGGAGCTGCAAGGACAAATGAAAGGGGTACCCCAAAGAAAGCAAATGTGAACACAATTAAGAAAGGGGTTCACATGCCGCTATTATATTCCATGTTGCTTGCTGTAGAGGTGGAAAAGTTCCATTGTTGGATTGTCTCAACTCAAGGGCTTTCGTTGTCAGCACCAGGATTGTATATGTTTGGATTTTGGATCTGCTCATCCGGGTGGAATAGGGGCTGTTGCGGTGGAAATTCAAAACACACACACACTGCATCAAAACATTACAATCATATAAATATCATATATGAGTTGATCAAAGATTGTAAGGTTAGGCTGTTTCAATTGGATCTACTCATCTGGGCGGAAAAGGGGTTGTTGCGGTGACAGTTTGAAACACGCCTGGGGTTAGCCTCAACGGGCGGCTAGGAGTGCAGGGGTATCCCTAACTCTGGACGACATGGTGAGATTCCTTATCAATCAAATGCATCATGGGCAGACTGCCGTGGTTCATCCTCTTGATGAGTCGGTGAAAGTACGATAACAGTGTGGCACAGTCATGCTTTTTCTGTGGTGCTGTGTATAATAAACATGATATCATACAGACAGATGCAGAAGCTTTGGCGAGTTGTTCTTACTTGCCTGAAGATTTTGTTGTCGGTGGCGCCATTACATACATCTGCTGGTGTGCTGTTCTGTTATGTTAGACCTGTGCAAGTGGGCTTGAAGGAGATGGTTTGTGTGGGCACTCCCTGCTCAACCTTGCAGATCTGGGGAGCCTTGCACTTGGTATTGTGGTCTCTCCCCTTCTTTGCTTTCTGGAATGTTGAGCGGTTGGTGTTATGCTCATTACCTATTATTTTATGGAATGTTTCTGTTTTGGTCGTTACCTGCTTACACACGATTTTGACTACAAGCAATGTGGCAACACGCATCCTTCTTAAGAAGGCACTAGGGGTCATTCTATGTGATTGTGGATGAAGATGTGAGTTAAATGAATTTTTAGCAGGGTTATCTCATGTGGAATTTCCCTGCCTCAGTGTGCCCTGTGCTCTTCCTCCTCCCTACTTTCCCTGTCTTCCCCTCTTTCGCAAGGATAATACTACTATGGCTAATGATTCAATGTTCTATCGGATCTGTTCATGTGTTCTGTCAAGCTTTTTCCCTCTGGCGAAAGAGGGATATCGTTTTTCATCACTTGGCACACAACTTTTCTATGGAAACTAGTGATGCGTTTTTCCTCTCCACAGGAAAAGGATACTCTTTTCGGGATGTCAAAACTTTGTGTTCGTTCCATTTTGGTGAGCTACTGAGGTTGGCTGCCTTTTTAGGTCCTCTTTGTTTGTCCGCTTGGTATCGCCGTCACAATGTGATTGTCTGTGGCCTGTGCTGGGGAGACTGGAAAGATGACATGGTTGGAGTGCACCTGGTGAGCAAAGCAATGATTGGCACATCAACACACAAATAGTTCCTAAGTCCGTCCTCATCCGCTTCCGAAACCCTTGAAGGTCCTCTTTCTTTGTCTCCCCAGTGTCTACATCGAAATGTGATTGTTTGTGGCCTGTCGTGAGCTGAAAAGGTGAAACTCTTGGAGTGTACCTGATGAGAACGAACCAATGATCAACTAACGAAGACACAAGAGCAAACTCAACAGGTTGGCTGAGTGTGTGCAATGTGTACGTGCCTGTGTGTCGTTCTTGAGCGCAGTGATTTGCACTGTATCTACCGTGCATGCTGATTGTCGACCAAAGAAGGGTTATCGGCGGCTGAACATGAGCTGTAAGGACGATGAAGTGCTCCTTTAGGAAAACCTTGAATGACTGCTGTATGCTTGCTATCTGCCCCATTGGCTGGTTTCATTGCATCAAAGGTCAGCAGTGCTTGGATTGATGTTGATTCCTGTCTCCTAGTATCGAGTTTTCTGCATGGGTTATTCTCCAAGTCTACTTTTGCTTATTTGTACAAGGGTTTCACTCCTGGGATTTCTTGATGCTTCCTTTCTCAGGTGCTGTTGCATTTCCTTGAGTGTGCCTTTGACATTTTTGACATTTTTTTTGTGGTGAATCTCTGTGAACCGGAAGTTGTGTACAGTAGCATAGATTGCAATCGATGGGGGCGAACAGGGGCTAAGTGGCCTTTCGCAGTGGCCTCAAATTTCATTCTGATGCCCATAATATGGGGTATTTGCTGGTTTTTTTGTTGCACATGCCAAACGTTTGGGATACAGGTGGGCTAGGAGCTAGATTAGTCATGGGCCATACCCTCAGTCCTGGTATGGGAGGCATTTGGAGATGTAACCTCTGTTGTAGCTGTTGGGTGCATTTGGAAGGGAATAGTCCAAGTGTGATCAGCCGAAGGAGTCCTGCAGCCAATGCAAGAGAATGTAATGCTGCTGGCAGAAGTCAAAGTCACCCTTCAGCTGTAGTCAGGATCTCAGAGATGTCCTGCTTGCTACCGTTCCCAGTCATTATAGCTGTATTTGAGGCAACTTTCAGTCCACATGCAGCAATGATGACCGGGCGTTTTATTCGGGTGAAGACGGTAGTTTTCTGTTGTATGTAAACAGCAGATTAGGCTTCAGGAACTTTGTACATTTTTCCAGACGGAGCTAGGTTGCAACCCTGTGGTGTTGAGGGGGACTGAAGTTGGCCTTTGAACCTAGAGGGATAAAGTCGGGTCTTCCTTTGTCTTAGACTTAGACAGGGGTCATGGTAGACAAGTAATGAATTTCCTGCATGCTCTTGTTTTTTTTTCTTATTGAGACGCTTCTTCGTCATGCTTCTTTTTTGGCCGCCTCCCTGGCCTCTCCCTGTGCTTCCTCACCCTCTTCTTTTCCTGCCCTCTTCCGACCCCTAGCAGCTCTCTTTTTCTCCTTCTGTGGCCTCTGGGATCTAGTCTATCCAAACCACTTGATATGTCACATCACATCCTAGATCTGGATAGATTAGTTCACTTCTTCTGCAGGCTGCTGCAGGAAACTACAACCTAGCAGTTGTACTGGCGTAACACACTGGCTCATCTCTCTCACTTGCTGCTCTCTGTGCAGTCATAGCTGGCATCTCTGGCCAGCTATGCAATGGCTGTGCTACCTGCTGTTACTATCTAAATGAGTGACGTTTCCGGTGATGGAGTAAATGTGGAGGAGATTTAAGCAGTGGAGGTATGACTGGTTTGATTTGAACTCGTATAGATAGTTGGCACTGGCTCTGGGAGGGCCGTCTACATTTCCTTCTCCCTTTATCTTTGCTTGTTCGATTTCCCTGGCCCAGTTCTTAATGTATGGTGTACGTTTGATTACATAGTAAATCTGAAAGGAAGAAAGCAGGCGTGCGAAATAGGTGTGGCAGATAGCATGCTGTTGATGATGGTGGTGGTGACTTTCTGGTGTTTTATTCATGATCGAAGTTGTTATATGGTTTTGTCTTTTGATATGCCTTTTTTGTGATTGTTGGTGGGTTGGGTGTGTGACGGTCTGCTGGTGCATGGAAGTGGGTGTGTGGGAGATCTCACCACTGCCGAAAAGATCAGGAGATACACAGGTCCGGTCTTTGGTGACCCAGATGATGGAGTTGAAGCTTCCATTCCTCAGGAGGCTGCGAGGGACCGGCCTTGCAAAATTTTATAAGACACACACGTACTTGCTTCTTTCCCGCATTTCTGGTATGTAATTCCTAGTCAGCCAGTGGTCAGTGAGTTGTTTATCCCCTTCCCTACACCTTTTCTTTTTCAACTTATGGTGTCTTTGCCAGAAGAAGTGTTCCTACCGTGCCACCAGTGTTTCAGCAGAGTTTTTTGAGTGTTTGTGTTTGTTGTGCAAAGGTTGTTGCGTCCACAAGGTGTAGTTTGTTTGGTCAGCTGTGGTTAATGAAAGAGAGAGTCCATAGAGCATTATGCTTGGTCATGAGCATCTCGCTGGGCTGCTTTCATGGGCCTTTGCGTACTCCAACTTGGGTATCAGCTCTTGGACGATTATCATTGTGATTAAACCACCAGTACTTCCTAAAGTCGTGCCCGTTGACGCTACGCGATTTTAGGAAACGTACGGGTCACTACAGGAGCGCCCAAACGTTTCTACTCTATTTCTTTCCGCGGCCGATAGCTGGGCCAAGTACCGGTGGTTCAAGCAATCAACATCGATCTGTGTAGTGAATGCTTATCCAATATTTTCGTCCTACCAGTTTGGTGCTACACTACCAGAGTGACCTGGGTCCACTTGCCCGGCTGGACCATTGGGGCCCAGGCAGCCTGGACACACTTGGCCAGACCACCTGGGCAAGCTAAAAAATGAGGTCCGAAAAAAAAAGGAAAAGAATAGACTCGTGGTGGGGCATTTCAGCACCCATTGAGATGTGCAAGGAACCAATCAATGGGAACACAATTTTTTCCATGCTGCAAAAGACTCAAAGCACAACACTGACAACAGGCGTATATAAGCGAAGTCGAAAGCAGAACTATAAAGCCGAGAGCACACTAAATGAGAACACACTAACACTGACGTCTTTTGATGAAGAACACTGGACTTCTCCCCTCAACTTGTCAATACAACCAGAATGTTGCAGCTCTGCTATGATGGGACTGCCTACACTACTCTCTCTCTCTCTCTCTATACACAGCCTACTTCTCTCCCTCACATTCTGTCCCTTTCTGTCCGCTCTTCCTCCTCCTTGCAATGCTGCAGAGTCTGACAACAACAAGTGTGCTGCTTGGCTCCCACGAGGTGAATCCGTCTGTCCACCCCGCTGTCCTTCTCCCCTGATTACCCCAGCACCACCTCACTTCCACCCAGTGCAGCTATGGCTACTGCTGGCGGAGGAGCTGACCGTGGCTGCTGCTCACTCTTCTTCTTCCATGAGCGGTGTCTGGCCGTGCGCGCTCTGAACTGAGCTACCGTCTTCACCCGAATAGAACATCCTGTCATTATGGCTGTATTTGGCATAACTTTCGGTCCATATGCAGCGATAATGACTGCTCTATTTGGGTGAAGATGGCGGCTGCAGCCAGTGCCTCCGAATGTACGGAATGCTGTGGCCTCCTCCCTTTTGTCACTTTCTGGAGGCCTCAGCTGCCTGGATTGGAACTGGGTTCTCCCCAGACGGAGAACCTTTGGAACGACTTCCAGGACCCCAGCTGTTGCAACTGACCGAGAGGCAGGGCCCCTCGCAGTTAGTTGGAGAGCTGCTCCCATACTTCCTACCCAACTCTATAATGCTAGCCTTTACTCAGAGCTGGTGGATTTTCCTTCTGCTGGAGCCCTTATTCGTTTTTTTAATGGCATGATGGTCTTGAGATATCATCATTGAACTGACCAGCTCCAGGTCATTCAGAATGATTTTTTTCCGGTGGACTGGTCGCATCTGGATTCAAACTCAGGTCTGTATTTCAACAGTTCATGGTGTGCCAACTGAGTGAGGGCTTCACTTAGGGCTGGGCGTAATTTTCTGGATGGTCCTGGTGGAGTCCTGCCGAGGCCCGAAGCCTCGCAGATGTTCCCAAATCCTATCTTCTCTTTGGATTTGGAGATTTTGCACTTCAGGGCTTCTATGCGGTATAAAGCTGAGTGAGGACGCTGCCCGGTCGGGCCTGCGCTGCCGGGCTGGGCCCAGCCGGTTGGGCCCGGGGGGGCCGCCCGGGTAAACCGGGCAGGACAGAAAAACGCCCAGAATTTTTTTATTTTTTTTTTGTGAAACCGGGGTCGTTCTGCGCTCGGTGAGAGGACCCCGAAGAATATATACTCAAGATTCGAATTCGGGTCTGTGTTTCAGCAGTTATGGGTTGCTCACGTAGCTAGGGCCTGTTGGTCTCTGCACGTGACTCTTAGGGCTTGGCTGCACTACTCACGAAATGTGCAAAATAAGAATGAATCTTCTGCAGAACGTGGAATAATACGCCACCATATGTTTTGTCTTTTGTGCATTTGGTGAGTAAAGGCCCTTAGGGCCACTGCACGTATTCCTAAGAAAAGGAAAATGAGAAAAGAAAAGAAAAGCGAGAAAACAGAGAAATGGTGACCCATAACCGACACGCACAGACCTGAATTCGAATCCAGACTAAATATTATCTGCCCACCCTCAGGGAGTACAAGTTCGAAGTCTATCTGTGCATGACGTCGGGTCGTAGCTAATATGCTGTAGGGATCCTTCCGAAAAGAGGCTGGGCACAACTAGGACATTTTTGTTTTTCTATTTTTTTAATGCGTCGCATCACTTGTGCGTGCGTGCATGTGTGTGCGGCACCCCGCGCATGAGATACGCTGCAAGTATGATTCGAACACATCTCTCTCTCTCTCTCTCTCTCTCTCTCTCTCTCTCTCTCTCTCTCTCTCTCTCACACACACACACACACACACACACACACACACACACACACACACACACACAGGGGGCTGTCTCTTATACACATCTATATGTGTATAAGATCTCTCTCTCTCTCTCTCTCTCTCTCTCTCTCTCTCTCTCACACACACACACACACACACACACACACACACACACACACACGAGTGCCCTGACACGAGTGGGTCCGAAAGGGGGTCCGAAATCCCCTGACACGTGAGTGCGCTGGGGGAGCCCGGCCCCCAACTGGGTGCCCTGCCCGGCCAGGCCGCAAGGCCGCCCGGGACCTCCCCCGGGCCCCTGGCGGTCACCCGGGCGGTCTTTTGTTTTCGAACTCGCAACGAAGTTGCCTTGACTGGTGCCCCCCACTCAGGTATAAAGGTCTAAAGGAGGTGAAAGGGAGTTTAGACCAGCAGTGTATGCCATACATCGGCCGTGGGCCCCTTTTGGAGGTCGCCCGCCATTGATGTATTTTATCAATAGTGTGTGAGCCTCCGAAATTTTAGGAGATGCTCAATCGGATTGTCAACTTGGCTGGGGACATGTACTGGTGTGTTAAGGCGCTCAAAAGGGTGTGAGTAACTGATCTCATTTTTTAATGCTCTTTTTTATTTTCAACTTATGTTATTTTAAGAATGGATTTCAGAATGACCCATGACCCTCGGTCAAAAGTTGTTTAGATCAACCCCTTTGATCGTGAGAGGTCCCCTGTATAGGCTTAGTAGCATAGTTGCGGCGCACCTAGGTGCTCGGATTTGCGCACCCGTTGCTCACCGCGGGCACCGCACCTCACAACGCACCAGAAAAATTAAGGTCGGAAAAAAAAAGTAAAGGGTTTCGTAATTTCTTAAAGCGAAAATGTTCAACTTGCGGCGCGAGTTCAGAAACTGGCCGCGCCCCTTTCCCAATTTTTTTTCTTTTGGGCAAAGGCTGCCGAATTTCGAATTCTGCAGGCCCTTCGCCCAAAATTTGAAATGGTGGATCTTGAAAATAGGGCTCATTCTGGACAAGGCAACCCACCAAAGACCAACTGGCATGTCAAGGGCCTCCAAATACTTCGCTGGAACGTCAATTATCTAGGGAATGTCTTAGCCGGGGAAGATGAAATCAGGGACATTCGGCTCGGTCTCATAGGAAAAGATCATCCCAAACCCGGCGTGATACTACTTCAAGAGACCCACCTATCAAATCTTAACAACCACACCCGAATACAGAAAACCGTGGAAAAGACAGCAGGTGGGTGTTCCTTCGCCTGATGGTCCAACAAAGAGGGTCCGAGTATGAAAGGAACTGCAATTCTCATACCAAGGACGTCGAAGATTCTGACTGAAGGTCAAATCTTGAACAGTGAGGGAGACAGCGAGGAGGGCATATGGTCCTGGTTAGACATAAGATGGCAAGACGAGGAGCTAAGAATCCTCAACCTGTACGCACCCAACGCAGAACCCGGACAACTGATTTTCTTTGAGAACATCAAACCCGCAACCGGTTATCATCACAGGGACTGGAACTCGACTCTGGAGCCCAACTTGGACCGGATCTCTTGGACAGTATTATTGGTTTTCACAAGAGCGGGAACCCAGACACGGAATCTGATGACAGACTATGAACTCGTCGATCCGTTCAGGGGGCTGCATCCGAACAAAAAAACTTTCTCCCGGATCAGAAAGAACCAAGTCAATCGGACCTCATTGTCCAGGATCAATTACTTCCTGATATCTGAGAGCCTGCAATGTGCAATCAAGGAAGCTGAAGTACGTCCTTTGGCCGCCTTCACAGGATTGGACCACAAGCCCATTCAACAGCTGCTCAATTTCAACTCGCCAGTCGAAACAGGACAGGTTTTTTTCAGGCTGAACAACTCCTAGCGACCGAGAGGCTGTCCATAGCAGTCAAAGAAAATTGGTCCATCCAAAAACAATGAGAATTCAGACAGATGAACAGGCACCAATGGTTCATGGACAGTTATGCAGACCTAACACAAACAGTATCAGCAGAATCACAGGGCATAGCGGGGGATCGCAAAAGAAGGGAAGAACTCCAATTCGCCGTCTCAGTCGCAGAAGTTAACCTAGCAGAGGACCCCTCCAGCGAGGTCTACTAGCTGATACCAAAGAGGAACTAAACGAATGGAGAAGATGGGACTTGAGAGGACTGCAAATACGCGCCAGGATGACGGACTACACACTCAATGAAACCATGATTAAATTCTTCTTCTTCAGAACCAAAGCGAACACCAGGAATAACATGATAGAGGCCCTCAAAGACCCAACAGATCAAGGAAATGTAAAAACAGCAGGAACAGAGATGGTCAGGATAGCCAGGACA